TTTCATGTGTCTGTTGACCATCTGGATGTCTTCTTTGTAGAAATATCTGTTCATGTCCTTTGCCCATTTTTTAATTAGATTATTTGTTCTTTGGGTGTTGAGTTGTATCAGTTCTTTATGTATTTTGGATACTAAGCCTTTATTGGATATGTCATTTGCAAAAATCTTCTCCAATTCAGTAGGTTGCCTTTTAGTTTTGTTGTTTCCTTTGCTATGAAGAAAAATTTTTGTTTTTATGTAGTCCCAATAGTTTATTTTTGCTTTTATTTCCCTTGTCTTAGGAGATGTATCTAGAAAAATGTTGCTGTGGCCAACGTCAGAGAAATTACTGCTTGTGCTCTCTTCAAGGATTTGTATGGCTTCAGGCCTCACGTTTAGGTTTTTAATGCATTGCATTTAGTTTGGTGTATGGGGAGAGAAAGTAGGCCAATTTCATTCTTTTGCATGTGGCTGTCCAATTTTCCCAACATCATTTGTTGAAGAGATTATCTGTTTCCCATTGTATATTCATTCCTCCTTTGTTGAAGATTAATTGACCATATAATTGTGAATTTATTTCTGGATTTTCTGTTCTATTGCATTTATCTATGTGTCTAGTTTCATGCCAGTACCATAGTGTTTTAATTACTACTGTTTTGTAATATAACTTGAAATCTGGAATTGTGATACCTCCAGTTTTGTTTTGTAGTTCCATACAAACTTTAGGATTGTTTGTTCTAGTTCTATGAAAAATGCTATTGGTACTTAATAGGGATTGCATTAAATCTGTAGATTGCTTTGGGTAGTACAGACACTTTAACAATATTTGTTCTTCTTACCCATGAGCATGAAATGTCTTTCCATTTCTTTGCATCATTTTGAATTTCTTTCACCAATGTTTTATAGTTTTCAGAGTAAAGTCTTTCACCTCTTTGGTTAAGTCTATTCTGAGATATTTTATTGGCTTGGGTGCAACTGTAAATGGGATTGTTTTCTTAATTTCACTAACGGCTGCTTCATAATTAGTGTATAGAAATGCAACAGATTTCTGCACGTGATTTTGTATCCTGCAACCTTACTGAATTCATTTATCGGTTCTGGTAGTTTTGTGGTGGAGTATTTAGGATTTTCTATGTCCAGTATCATGTCATCTGCAAATATTGAGAGTTTTACTCCTTCCTTACAATTTGAATGTCTTTTATTTCTTTATGTTGTCTAATTGCTATGGCTAGAACTTCCAGTACTATGTTAAATAAAAGTGGTGAGAGTGGACATTCTTGTCTTGTTCCTGACCTTAGAGGAAAAGCTCTGTTTTTCACCACTAAGTATGATGTTGGCTGTGAGTTATTCATATAAGGTCTTCATTATGTAGAGCTATGTTCCCTCTAGACCTAATTTGCAGAGGATTTTTATCATGAATGGATGTTGTACTCTGTCAAATGCTTTTTCTGCATATAATGAAACAATCATATGGTTTTTATCCTTTCTTTTATTGATGTAAAGTATGACATTATTTTTAAAATAT